CGCCGGTCGGTTATGGGGCAACCTTCAATAATCAATGGATACAAGGTACCTGGCCATCTTTATGGAAATCCTTTGACATCATGATTCTTGAGTCTGTCTCTTATACACATCTAGATGTGTATAAGAGACAGATATATATATATATATATACACTGTATACCTTTTCAAAATGTATAAATAAAAGCAAAAATCCTACGTCTATATAACCATAGGCATACTGTATATAAATTATTATAAAAACAATGCATGTTGTTATCAAAATGGAAAACAAAGAGAATAATATGCCAATACTTAATTGGCTCCCATTTGCTATAAATACCTTTACATTTAGAAATGTCATTAATTATTATAATTGTATTATATTTGGTACCTAAAAAATCAATTGCATTTGTTTAACCTACTGTTAAAAATAAAACATTTTGCACAGACTTCCCTCAATTTTATAAACTACAGTAAAGCTAGTCTAGATAGGCTAATACTGTACAAATTATGGCTAATATTAGTAGAGCGGCTAAGGTTGAATTTCAGGTAGAATCGTGCACTTCTAGAAGAAAGCATGAAACTTCCCATAGTGATACTATGACACCTAAAGATCATTAAACAAAATAGACCCCAAAAGATAACTCCTCCTAATGGCCAACATCTTGAAATCCAATATGGCTGCCAAAATAATTGATTTTTTTAGCCAATATATTCATATCTACAGCACATGTCATTGCCAATTGAAGATCATTACCCACGTTTTCAATATCAAGGAGTGTAATGCAATCATCAGAAATTATGTCAGACGGCGCCGCCATATTGTATTTCAAAATGGCCACCAAATTAATTATATTTTTGTCAAATCAAAGACCGTTGCACATGTTTTCGATAACAGGGACTACCATACAGCCATCAGAAATTATGTCAGAAGACCACCATATTAAATTTCAAAATGGCTGTCATCTTGAAATTTAATATGGCCGCAAAAATAATTAATTTTAGCCTATGTATTCATACTTACAGCACATATCACACCAATTGAATATCATATAGATCAGCTTGTGAGTTAACACAATAAAACCTACTGGAAAATGTTCGGCATAGTACAAGAATGGCCACTACCAGACATTCTTAATGGTGGAAATAATATTTCCACTCCTTGCCAGATTATTATTAGCTGACGCAGCAAAACATAAGTAGGATATATAGACCGACCAGGAAATAGGTGTGCTATTTATAGTAAGGGTTCGTACGTTTTTAAACAAGCAAATTTCCAGGACAATTCCAGGACATTCAAGGTCAAATTTTCCAACTTTCAAGAAGACAATATATAGCTTAACAGTAAAATATCGGCGATTTTACGACGGGTGTCTATAAAACAAAGACCGAAGACCCAAAAACGAAGACCCCTAATTTTTCTATTTCATTTTGATGATAATGAACCTGGCAGTCATAAAATCAAAATTATGAATTTTTTTGGGTGTCTGTTTGTGAAATATTCAAGGGTCTTCGTTTTATATATGGGTGTCTACAAAACGAAGACCGAAGACCTGAAAAACGAAGACCTTCAATTATTTTGCAATTATCTTATTGTAAATATTTCAAAATCATCATAAAACAGTTGCCAAGTACGTATTTCATCGGAATAAAATTAGGAATATCAAGAAATACTTAAGGGTCTTCGTTTTATAGACACCCTATATGGGTGGGTGTCTATAAAGACCCAAAAACGAAGACCCCTATTTTTTCTCTTTTGTGTTGATGATAATACACCTGGCTGTCACAAAATCACAATTACGAGGTTATTTGAACTTTAGTTTGTGAAATTATCAAAGGTCTTCGTTTTATAGACACCCATACAGTATATGGGTGTCTACAAAACGAAGAACGAAAAACGAAGACCCACATTTTTTTCTCTCAATCGGGATGAAAATATATATATCACTTCATGCTATGTATATATAGTATTCGTCTTTTTAGCACATTATTTCCTGAATCGGAGTCAATTTAATTATTTACTTTTTATTCCAGTTCCAAAGCGGCAGCCATAATGTTGCTCCATGGCTCGCGGCAGAGCACGTCTTGGCGCTGCTGCCCTCCAACGAAAGTAAGGCTGGCCTAGCGGTACGCATATTTTGGGGGCCTACAAAGGCCTTGAATATTTCATTCACAAACTTGTTTCATGTTAAAATAAACAGTAGGAATGTTGTTGTATTTGAATCTGTTCAACCATGAAGCCTCCGTGGTCTAATGGTTATGACGCTCGCCTTGACAGTGAGAGGTCGCAGGTTCGAGTCCTGCCAGAGGCATTTTATTACACAATTTCTTTATTCATTTATTACAGGACTACATTCGTTGAGAGCTATGCTACACGATGTATTATTATGTCCCTGTTCTAACACTGTATTTACCTTTCTTTGATGATTATTATATAATTTAACAGTGTTAACGGCTATCTCGATTTATATTATATGCAACTATTTGTTTCTAGCCGTAATTATTGTGTAATGGAGTGTATCTGGTGGTATTTGAATCTGTTCAACCATGAAGCCTCAGTGGTATAATGGTTATGACGCTCGCCTCGACAGCAAGAGGTCGCAGGTTGGAGTCCCACCAGAGGCATTTTATCACACAATTTCTTTATTCATTTATTACAGGACTGCATTCGTTGAGAGCTATGCAACATGATGTATTATTATGTCCTTGTTCTAACACTGTATTTACCTTTCTTTGATGAGTA